AAGCGCATAGCGAGTGGCAAGCTAAACAAAGACTGGCTAGAGCCCAGAACTCTCGGGGTAGGAAGGTCCAGAACTTCTACCCGGGGGAGCTTGTGTACTTTTGGCGATGTCAGGAGTCCGGACGATCCCGGAACTCCCCGGGGAGCAAGAAGGGACGCTTTGTGGGTCCAGCGAGAATCCTCGCCATGGAGACCCGCCGGGATGCCGGTGGTGAGTACCGCCCCGGCAGCGCTATTTGGCTCGTGAGAGGCAGACAGCTGATCAAGTGTGCACCTGAACACCTGCGTCATGCGTCGACGCGGGAGGAGCTCATTGAGGCCATCACCGAGGAACCCAAGGTTCCCTGGACTTTCACCCGTGTAGCCAAGGAGATAGGAGGGAGCCAGTTTGAAGACCTGACAGGTCAGGCACCAGACGCACGAGAATGGCATCGTGCACAAGACCTCCTGGAGGAGGAACCTCCTGTCAGGCGGCGACTCCGAGGCAAACGAGGGGCGCAAGAGCCAGCACCCATGGAGGAGCCAGGAGATCAAGAGCCACCACCACAGCGGCCCCGGCATCAGGAAGCACAGCCCAGTGGCCACGCAGGTGCCTGTTGGTGGAATGACATCAAAGAGGAGCAGTGGGGTGCCGAGAGCGCGTGGTGGCAAGATTCCCATGCCGCCGTGGAGATAGAGATTGAGCTTCCGGAGTCCCACCGGGGCTTCAAGCGAGCCACTGCACATCTTCCTAGCTTCTTTGTGGGAGCTCTCAAGAAGAGAGCCATTGAGGTGAATGAAAGAAAACTGAATCCCGAGGAGCGAGAGAAGTTCAGGACCGCCAAGCTTGCAGAAGTCAAGAATTTTATTGCTGCGGAGGCATTTGAAGCACTTCCAGAATCCCTGAAGCCAGATCGGGCCACTGCCATAGGTATGCGGTGGATACTTACGTGGAAGACATTGGACAGCGGGGAGAAGAAAGCGAAGGCACGGGCAGTATTGCTGGGATATCAAGACCCGAGCTATGAACATCGGGCTACAACCAGCCCGGTTATGTCTAGATCTACCAGACAGTTTGTGCTTCAGATGGCGGCAAATCGCCGCTGGAAAGTGTACAAAGGGGACGTGTCCGGGGCGTTCCTCCAGGGACGGCCCTACCCGGGAGACCTCTTCTGTATGCCTTGCGATGAGATCTGCGACGCCATGTCGATCCCCCGGGGATCGGTGACCAAGCTGAAGAAAGCTTGCTACGGTCTTGTTGACGCGCCATTGGAGTGGTATAAGACGGTCTCAGATTATCTCTTGAGTCTGGGTTTGGAGAGGGCCTGGTCAGACCCTTGTCTGTGGCTATGGCGGCCACAGGGCGAGCTACGAGGTGTTGTGTCAGGTCACGTCGACGACTTCTTGTTTGGAGGTTCAGAGAGTGACGAAGCTTGGCAAGGCATCTTAGAAAAGATACGGGCAAAGTTCAAATGGGGCGATTGGGAGCATGGGGAGTTCACGCAGTGTGGTGTTCAAATTCGTCAGACGGCCGAGGGTTTCGAGATGAGTCAGGTTCCCTATGTGAGTGAACATCTGCAGGAGATCCCGCTTAGCAGCGCTAGACGGAGACAGAAGGAAGCCGAAACCAGCCCTCGTGAGAAGACGCAGTTACGAGCGACCCTTGGAGCCCTGTCCTGGCATGCCCAGCAACTCGCCCCACATGTGTCAGCTGAGGTGGGTTTATTGTTGTCCGAAGTCTGCAAAAGCTCAGTCAACACCATTATTAGGACCAACCTCCTGGTAGCCCACACTCGAGCGAAGCAGAACCATGTGATGAAAATCCATGCCTTTGACCCTCAGGAGCAGTTGTGCATGTACGCTTGGGTAGACGCAGGAAGCCAGAACCGCTACGACGGAGGATCTACACAAGGTGTCTTTATAGGCATGAGCACAGTGGGGTTACGGGAAGGAGAGCTTCGGGAAGTGACACCCCTGTATTGGGGTAGTCACAAGATCGACCGGGCCTGTAGAAGTCCGGGGGCCGCTGAAACACAGGCGGCAGTCAATGGAGAGGATGCCCTCTTCTATCTGAGGTACCAGTGGAGTGAGATGATGTATGGGAGTATCAACGTTAAGGACTCAGTATCTGCAGTGAGGAAGGTACCGGCCTGTCTGATCTCAGACAGCAGAAATGTTTTCGACAAGTTGAGCACTGAGGTTCTGACAATCAAGGGCGCTGAGAAGCGTTCGAATATTGAGCTGATAGCCATTAAAGCTGCGCAACAAGAAACCCAGCTTGAGGTCAGATGGGTCCACAGCGAGGCTCAGTTAGCAAACGGCCTGACAAAGGCCGGAGCAGCTACGGAGCTAGAGCTCTTCTACAAGATGGGCCATCGATGGAAGACCGTGGATGATCCCGAGATGAAGTCTGCGCGTCGTCGACGACAAGATGGCATTGCACCGTTGGAAGATGGCAGTGCAGCTAAAGGAACTGAAAATACCAAGGGCATTACAAGTCACTAATCCGGGAGGGTGGAGCTGATGCAAAAGATTTCAGCTTTTGAAGCTGCTTCGACTCACGAAGTGTGTCTCGCAGCAATCGCATGTGCAGCTACGAAGCATCAAGAGACCGGAGGGGAAAGTTAGAGTTCCGCGTGAGCAATAGCAGCGTTCGCCCCTGCTTACCACACGTGATCTTCCCTGAGGAACCTCTGAGCTGGAAGCATTGAGCAGTCTTGGGCTACCGCACTTGCAGGGTTTACGGTTTCGTGTAAGGTAACTATAGTTCCCCAATTGAGGCACTTATAACCCTACTTACTAAGTCCCATGATCCTCTAAGAGCTTCCGTTGGAAGGTGCCCGCAAACCCCGTTCCATGCCCTAACACAGGGGTTTCGATGCTTTGAAATGATCCCCATATCGCCCCCCCTAAACCTAAGACCCGAAACGCCTTATGGTGATCATGCGGCTTTGTGATTTCATTCATGTCCAAGAAATGGCCCTTTCCTGCAAATCCGCAATTGAACCTCTGAATATCGACAGGCAAAGACACCCTTAACCCTCAACCCTACCCTAAACCCTGAACCCCGAACCCTAAACCCTAAAACCCTAAACCCTAAACCCCGAACCCTGAACCCCAAGCCCTAAACCGCAAGCCCTAAACCCCCATAGATCCCTTAAAACAACACTTAAAAAAAGCAACAAACAAAAACTAGGCCCCAAACCCTCAACGAACCAAACACCCTAAAACCCTAAACTCCGCACCCTGAGCCCTGAGTCCTAAACCCTCAACGAGCAGGAATCCGAATCCCAAAAGCAATCCGAAGGGCTCTCGTCGCCCAGCGCATTTATCTGCAGTGGGGGTCCACAGGGGCTTTAGCGGATTAAGGGTTTAGGGTTTAGACTGTAGGGTTTAGGGTGTAGGGTTTAGGGTTTAGGATGTAGGGTCTAGGGTTTAGGGTTTAGGGTGTAGGGTCTAGGGTCTAGGGTTCAGGGTGTAGGGTTTAGGGTTTAGGGCTAGGGTTTGGGTATTGAAGTTTGGAGATTTAGGTTCAGTGGGGTCAGGGCCTCAGAGTCTTGCGGTTTAGTGCCCAGACCCTAAATCCTAAATCCCAAACCCTGCTTGAAGGATCACGGGACTTAGTAGCTAGGGTTATGAAGAAGGTAACTATACATATACAGTCATACTGATTCTGCAGGCTTCCATATTCCGAGGGCAAGACATGAGAAAGAACATCTGAGCAACTTTGACATCCGGCCACCCCACTCGGCAGCATCGAGCCCGAACACAATCTTGAGATCTCAGATGGAAAGTTGAACCCAACCTAATGCTACCAAAGCCAGCATCTACTTGGAGGACCAAGGGACTTAGTAAGTAAGGTTATAAGTACCTTAATTAATCGGGGTTATAAGTAGTTATAAGTATAGTTACCTTATTTATAACCCCAGTTACTACGTCCCATGATCCTTCAAGTAATCCCTCAACTTCTCAACCCTCAACCTTCCGCCCCCAGACGGTACTTGTAGGCGGCTCAGCTCTTACCCGAACGGTTGATGATATAAATCCTGCATTACCCATAGTAAGGAATATACAATAATTCCCATAGTTTAGGGTCCTTAAGGTAATGCAGGATTCATATCATCAACCGAACAAGCTTGAGGCTGCACGTATTTGCAAAACCGGGAGGCTGCGATGTAGCCACCAGAGATAAACAGAAACCAGCCAGCCAGCACCCAAAGCAAGTTGACGAACCTCGGACTCGGGCAAGGTAATTCTGACCTTAAAGTAAAAGCCAGAAAGTTGGAATATGATTGTCCTAAACCCTTTATGGTAAAGTATAGGGTATCCTACCCTGAAACCATATTCCAACTTTCTGGAGATCCCTTTACTTCTGCAAGGTTTAGGCTTGTAGGGGTTTGGGCTTAGGATGGTTTGAGGTTTAGGGTTCTGGGTTTAAGGCTTAGGCTCAGAGTTCGAAACCCCTAAACAAAAACATTAAACACCTAAAACCCCTAAACCCCTTAACACCCTAAGACCACCAAAGAAACCCTGAAAACCCTAAACCCTAAACTCTAAACCCTCCCCTAACTTCCAGAACTCCGCTCCTCCGCCTCGTAACCCGAAGCTCTCCGACTGGAGAGGGTTTTCAGTTTAGGGTTTAGGGTTTAGTTTAGGGTTTAGGGTTTAGGGTTTAGGGTTTAGGGTTCAGTTTAGGGTTTAGTTTAGGGTTTGTCAACCCCAAAACCCTAAACCCCTAAGGGGCTTAAAGTTAGGGTTTAGGGGCGTATTTCGGGTTTAGGGTTTAGGGTTCAGTTTAGGGTTTAGTTTAGGGTTTGTCAATCCCAAAACCCTAAACCCCTAAGGGGCTTAAAGTTTAGGGTTTAGGGGCGTATTTAGGGTTTAGGGGTTTAGGGGTTTAGGGTTTAGGGCTTCTGGTTTCGGGGTTGCGGGTAAACCCAACAAGCAAAACTCAGACACTTGCTAGACCCTTGACCCTAAACCCTAAACCCCTGAACGGAAACCGACAGAGTTGAGGAACCCTCATAGAAATTGAATCTTGCCCAGGAGCTGCTTGTAGACGGGGCCGCGCCTTGCAGGTAAAGTATAAGGGATCCTAGCACTAATGCTCCCAAAGCCATGTTGCAACTTTCTGGCTTCTACTATAGGGTTCCGGGTTCTTGCGTTGAGGAGTCTGGGCTTCGAGGTTTAGGGTTCTTGCGTTGAGGAGTTGAGGCTTCAAGGTCTAACGGTTTAGGGTTTAGGAGAAAGGAGCCCGCCCAAATAGCATAGGTAATTTTTAAGGCCCCTATATTAAACCCTAAAACCTACATGCATGAGCGTGGGGAGATGCATGGAGTCAAGGTTTGGAATCACGAGGGCAGGTTTTCAGGTGGGGAAAGCCGGGTCTAGGCTCCAGGGTTAAGGGATCAGAGCTTAGGGTTTACTTAAAGGATCATGGGACTTAGTAAGTAGGTTGTAATTGGGGTTATAAGTCCCCTAAGTGGGGTTATCTTAACTATAAAGTACTTATAACTTATAACCTTACTTACTAAGTCCCATGATCCTTTAAGTAGGGTTTAGGCTGCAGGGTTAAAGGAAAAGGGCTTCAACATCTCTAACGTTGTTCCGGGAGTGCTTAAAGGATCACAAAACTTAGCAAGCAGTGCTATGAATACTTTAAATGGGCTCATAAGTAAATATCGATACCTGCCCTAATAAACAGCCCTGCCGACTTAGCTCCATGATCCTTTAAGTGGAGGCTTGAACACCAGAATTCCAATACTCTCGTCTTTGATAGCCAAGCCCGCACCCAAAAAGAGCTCAACATTTCCATATGGACATTATGGACCTAAGATGTACCGGAAGCGCAAAAAGCTCAGAGTTCGTCGGAGTTACATACATTAGACAGGCCCAGCAACTGGCAGCCACTGAAGCGACAGAAACCCAGCAGAGGTTTAGGGTTTTCGGGTTTAGCGAGCTCGGAAGAGACAAAACCGGCGTAGCAAGCTCGGAAGCTCACTCAGTTCTTTGGTTTTTGCTTAAGCCCTCAACCCTAAACCCTAAACCCCACTCAGTTCTGTTGCTGTGTTTCTTTTGTTGCCGCCTGGCCCTTCATGCAGGACCAATAAAGGCCGAGTCTCGGCAAGTCTGGCGTCTACTTTGGACACACCGATGCCTCGCAGCGACGACCCCTAAAACCCTAAACACTGCAGTAAGCCCCAAAAACCCCAGAACCCTAAAAACCATACCCGAAGCGCCCCTAGAACCTAAGACCTCCAATCCCAATCCCTGAATCAAGCTTCGGCTTCTACGGTTGATGATACAAATCCTGCATTACCCATATTACGGAATATATCATAATTCCCATACTATAGGCTCCTTAGGGTAATGCAGGATTTATATCATCAACAGTAGCAGCCGGAATTCCGGGATCTGGAGGATAAAACCCTCGACCACAAACCGAAGTCTCGATACCTGAACCCCAAACTATGGTTGATGAAATCCTGCACTAAACATGATAAGGAATATACCATACTTACCATAGTCTAGGGGTCCTTAACGTAATGCAAGATTTATATCATCAACCGAAAAACAGGCAAACAGTTACAAGAGGAGAGGGACCTCTCCAGCCACACAGCCAGGCCGACCAGCAGAATGGTGTACCTGGGTGCTTGTTTTCGTGACTTCTTGACCCCGGGTTCATAAGCCCCAAAACGCGTACACTTTGGGTCTTTTTGTGGGCAATATTATCCCGAAAAGTGTAAAGTGTATCCACTCAGCTACTAAGAGGGATTTAGGGTTCAGCGTTTGAGGATGAAGTCTTGGGTTTAGGGTCAACGGTTACTGATTCGGAGTTCCGGAATTTTGGGGCTTCTGATGTACCTTGGTTTAGGGTTTAGGGTTTAGGGTTTAGGGTACTTCATTGATGGCTTCCTTTTGAACCGTCGAGTCCAGAAGTAGGGGAGTTTAAGATTTGGGTACCGCGATCCTGCTACGCAGAATCAATCCATTCTGGTTTCCGCCATCCTCTGAAACTTTAACATGATTTGCGGTTTAGGATCCAGTTTTTAGGGGTTAGGATATAGGATCTAGGCTCTAGGCTTTAGGGCTCGTGTTACGGATGCAAGATGATGCAGGATTTGTGGACCAGAGCTTCATGGTCAGGCGGTTTTAGGGTGGAGGATTTAGGGGGGCTCCAGAAATTGGGGATTCAACAGATTCAAACCCGGATGCCAAACCCTTAAACCCCAAGCCCGAAACCCTCAACCCCAAAACCCTAAAACCCCTGAAACCCTTAACCCTCACCGTAAGATCTGAGCTTTGAAACCAAAGCTTCAAAACGCTGAGACCTAGATCCCTTGAAGGATCCCACACATACACCGTTGCAATGTAAGCCTACAGGGAACCCTTACAGGAACGCAAATAGGAGCTTAAACCCTAAACCCGAAACCCTCAACCCTAAACTCCAAGGCCAAAAGGAGGGACCCTTAACAAGGACCCCTAGGTATGTACCCTTAATATAGCTACTATATACCCATTATATAGCCCATTGTAGGGTAGGGGTCCCCATTAAGGGTCCCTCCTTTTCCCCTTTGATAAACCCTAAACCCAAAACCCTAAACCCTAAACCCAAAACCCTAAACCCCTAAACCCTAAAGCCCTAGGCCCCTAAACCCTAAGATCATCCTAAACCCTACATAAATCCTAAACCCTAAACCCTCGTAGACCCTCCATGACTGACTCTCGACATTGAAAGGCTCCGGATGAATCGGAAGTGAGGTTAGAAGCATTCTTGATATGGGAGTTTCCGAAAATTAGGGGTACCTTATTATCCTTTCAAGGGTTCCTTTAAAGGGATCTATAAGGGTTCTATGAAGGGATTAGGGCTCAGAGTTTCCGAAAATCAGGCGTACCGTCTTTTTTGGAGGTCCTAAAAAAGGATCCAACTATTTAGGGTCGGTATTATAGTAGGGTCCCCGATTTTCGGAAACCCCCATACAGCTACCTGATCTCAAACCCAACTCCCATGATCCTTTAAGCAGACTTGATCAGGGTTTTGAGTTCGAACTTTAGGGTTTAGTCTCTGGGGTCTGCAATGTTTAAGCTGTACCCCCGAAAACCGAAAAACACCTAAAGCTAGAATCCAAACCCTGAGCCATCAAACAAGCAACGTACCGACCAGAGCAAAACCATGCCTGCTTCACGGATCTGCTAGGTGAGAAAAGGGGATATACATACCTAAACCCTGCTTCAGCTAGGTGAAACGATGTCCTGACGGTAAACGCCTGCTGCCACATCCGATGATAAAGCTGCATAGATCCTTTGAGCCCTAAAGCCCCAAGTTCCGAAACCCGGAATTGAAAACAACAACTCCAGACTCCAAGGCCCGCTTCGTAAGTCAGACCCCCGGGAGGATCCAAAAAGTAGATCCCCTAATGGGGGTTCCTATAAAGTACCCTTAGTAGTATAGGGCCCCAAATTAAGCGATCTACTCTCTAAACCCTAAACCCTAAACCCTAAACCCTAAATACTCTTTATCAATAGTAATTTAAACCTTAATGGTTTTCGTGGGATAAGGCCCAAACTTTCGTGGGATAAGGCCCAAGTCCAGACCAACCTTAATGGAATTCGTGGGATAAGGCCCAAACTTATCGTGGGATAAGGCCTAATCTTTTCGTGGGATAAGGCCCAAACTTTTCGTGGGATAAGGCCCAAACTTTTCGTGGGATAAGGCCCAATTCCAGACCAACCTTAATGGAATTCGTGGGATATGGCCCAAACTTTTCATGGGATAAGGCCCAAACTCTTCGTGGGATAAGGCCCAAACTTTCGTGGGATAAGGCCCAAACTTTTCGTGGGATAAGGCCCAAACTTTTCGTGGGATAAGGCCCAAACTTTTCGTGGGATAAGGCCCAAACTTTTCGTGGGATAAGGCCCAAACTTTTCGTGGGATAAAGCCCAAACTTTTCGTGGGATAAGGCTCAAACTTTTCGTGGGATGAGGCCCAAACTTTTCGCGGGATAAGGCCCAAACTTTGGAAGGATCTAGGGTGGGCCTTAATCCGCGAATTCATTAAGGTTGGTCTGAAGATTGGGCCTTCATCCGCGAAAGAAGTGAAACTTTGTATTTCCCTGATGTTATGGGATTCTAAGGGTGGGTGGGTGTTATTTCCAAACCGTAAACACAACTCTACTTTAAAACTGCTGGATCCGGAGCTGCTGAACCCTAAACCCTAAACCCTAAGCCCTAAGCCCTAAACCCTAAGCCCTAAACCCTAAACCCTAAACCCTAAGCCCCAAGCCCTAAAGCAAAAAATGCCAGGCCGCAGCACGCAAACACCAAGGCCGAACGTCCAGGAAACGAAACTGGCAAAGGTGATGAAGCCTGGAGGTATCGGCTCTGGGGTCCTCTTACGTTACTTAGAGTTTAGGGTTTAGGGTTTAGGGTTTAGGGTTTAGGAATTAGGGTTTAGGGTTTAGGGTTTAGGGTTTAGGGGTTACTTAGAGGAGGATCGTGGGACTTAGTAACTATAGGGTTCTGTGAAAGGGTCCTTGAAAGGGATCTACAAGGGTTCTATAAGAGGGGTCTTAGGGTTACTACGCTAAGGTTTCGGGCTTAAGCTATATGGGGTTTCCGAATGGTTTAAGAGATTTAGGATTTAGGGAAGTTCGGGTTTAGAGTTTACTTAAAGGATCATGGGACTTAGGAACTTGGGTTATAAATGAGGTAACTATACTTGTAATTACTTATAACCCCAAGTAAGGTACTTATAACCATACTTACTACGTCCCATGAGCCTTTAGGTAAGGTTTCGGGTTTAAGCTACATGGGGGTTGCCGAAAACAGGGGACGCCAATGTAGTACCCTAAATAATAGGATTCTTGTTAAATAAGCACCCCCACACTTTGGTACTCCTAATTTCGGAAACTCCCATATGGTTTCGGGTTTAGGGTTTAGGCTACAGGGTTTAGGACTGAGGATTTGGAGGGAACCCTTTACGGTGCAGGGTTAAGGTCTCCCGAAGGTCCTACACCCTGAAACCGAGTTCAGGGCTCAAAATTCGAATACGAAGCCGTGACTGGCTACACCTGCTTTTTGTTGCGCTTTCAGGGTTTAGGATTTGAGACGCGGGAACCATAAACTCTAAACCGAACTCTGTGGATCTTCGCAGGGTGCTATTGGACACCATATATGGGTGGTTGTCAAAATTATGGTCCCTTTTGGGGTCCTTATTATAATACGGCACCTTGTATTTAGAGTACCCAAGAAAGGGGCCATAATTTTGACAACTACCCATTGAGCCCCCACGCCGCAGTCCCTAGTCCCTGAATGAACACTGAACCCTCAACTCTAAACCCTTAACTCGAAACTCTGAACCCTAAACTGCAAGCTCTGAACCCTAACCTCTACAATCGCTTTGAGAAGCCCTCTAGAGTCGACATCTCAACAAACCCTGAACCCCAAAATTTTCGAGTTTAGGGGTTTAGGCTTTAGGGGTGTAAGGGTTTAGGGTTAAGGGTTCAGAGTTCAGGGGTTTAGGGGTTTAGGGGTGTAGGGTTCAGGGTTCAGGGCTCAGGGATCTACGGGTTAAACTCACAAGAACCTCCCAAAACCTTGAAACCCTGTAAGCCCGTAAAGCATCTTCCTGCACTAAAACGAAGAAGCAGACAGTGTATACAAAAGGTATGCGTGTGTGTCCTTGTATATATGTATATACATATGTCACCATGTATTATCTGTTTCTGTAATTCCGTCCTGTCCCATCCTAGCCTGGCCTGTCCTGTCCTATCCTGTTCTCTTCCATCCTGTTGTACTGCAGTGTACAATATTTTGATCAGTTTCGATAGTCGATTACATGAAGCGGTCTTATACTACTATAAGCTTCTATGCTGAACTACACGAGACAAGACCAGGCCAGACTGGCCCAGACAAGGCTCATGGATACTATACTGTATTGTACTGCCGCACCAAACTAGACCAGACTTAACCAGCCTAGACGAGACTAGACCCCATCACTGTCATTGCATTCGATTTTTGCCGTCGTATATGCATAAAGTGAAATTCGTCATATTATTGAATATGATATCAGACTGTGATACAGTTGATGATATAAATCCTGCATTACCCATAAGAAGGAATATGCCATAATTCCCATAGCTTAGGGTCCCTACCGTAATGCAGATTTATATCATCAACAGTATTACAGCACTTGTGCGAGTTTCTTTGCCGATTCAGGTAGCCCCAAGCTGCGAGATTGACGATGATGAAACCTGGGAGCTTAGAGCCGCGGGCTGAAAATTGGGGGTTTAGCAGGGCTTTTGGTTGAGGTTTAGGGCTGTGTTTTTGGGGTGGGCCTGCCCCTAAACCCCTAAACCCCTAATCCCTAATCCCTAAACCCCTAAACCCCTAAACCCCTAAACCCCTAAACCCCTAAACCCCTAAACCCCCAAACCCTAAGCCAAGGCTTCAAGTGGGGTCGTGGCAGGCTTGGGAGGGGCACCTCGGAGGTTGCTGCTGTACAGCTTCGATGGCAGGCCAAAACGCTGTGTTGTTCACAGGTAGAGCGTAAGGTTTAGGGTTTAGGGTTCCGTGTTCAAGGTGAGCTTGGGGCTTGGGATGCAGGGTTGCGGGTCTGAGCTTTGCCAATGACAACTTTTGGTGCTGTGGGCGTAGGCCATGGATTGAAAGATGACTTGGAGGATCATGGGACTTTGTAAGTCAGGCTATAAGTATCTTAGCTGGGGCTGTAAGTAGTCCGAAGTACAGTTACCCTAGAATAGTAACCCCAGCTACTAAGTCCAGTGATCCTTTGAAGCAGGAACCCAGAGACTCCAATATCCCTTAATTAAGGAATATACCTTAAATCATAGTAGGATCCCTAATATGATTTACGGAATATTCCTTAATTACGGGATATTGGAGTCTCTGGGAACCCTACTTAAAGGATCATGGGACTTAGTCAGTAAGGTTATGAGTAGGTTATAATTAGGGTAACCCCACATAGGAGACTTATAACCCCAATTATAACCTACTTACTAAGTCCCATGATCCTTTAAGTAGCCTAAACTACCCCTTATAGAACCGCTATATAGATCCCTTAAAGGAGCCCTTTAAAGGAACCTACTTACTAAGTCCCATGATCCTTTAAGTATAGCCTAAGAGTGAGGCTTCCAGATAAGCCCTAAAGCCCTAAGCCCCTAAACCCTAAGATGCTCCTAAACCCTATATAAATCCTAAACCCTAACCCCCTAAACCCTGAACCCTAAAACCTAAGAGTGAGGCTTCCAGATGAGGTCTCGGCGGCGGGAGAGTCGGGGCTCCCTTAAAATGTCTAAACGTTGGATACTGCCCCCATACAGGAACGTTTAGGGTTTAGGGGTTTAGGGTTTTAGGGCTTTAGGTTGGATACGGCCCCCATACAGTAACAGTCTATAATAGGGCTACTATTAAGGTCCTAATATATCTATATTATGAATATTATCCAACTGCTACTGAGTGGGGGCAGTATCCAGTCTAAAGAGGCCACGAAGTGAACATCTCGGTGCTGTGACACGGTTTAGGGTTTAGAGCTTTTTTTGCTTAGGGTTTAGGGTTTGGGGTTTAGGGTTTTGGGTTAAGGGTTTAGGGTTTAGATTATTAGGATAATGTAGTAACCTGATTAAGAAACCTTGGGCCTATAGTTGGGTTCCTTATATGCATCCTACTATTTTGGGGTTCTAGGCCCAGGGTTTCTTAATCAGGTTCCTACATTTGCTAATGATGAACATAACCACGAGGCTGAAGAGGGCAGATCAAGTAATTCACTCGCACGTAACGGGCTTACATCAACTGGCCATCGTGGTGATCCTCGCAAGAGAGTATTGAGCGCAAAAGCTGAGGTTGATAAGCAGCAGCAGGAGCAGAAGTTCTTGTAGTTGTTGCTCGGCGTCGTCGTCGTCGTCTTCGTCGGCATCGTCGTCGCTGTCGGTGCTGCTGCCGCTGACGGCTAGTGATGCCGGCGGCCGCTGTTGGGACATACGGGCTACCAGTAGTGAACAACCGAAGCAGTGTGTAGTGGTTGCGATGGCCACGTTCACATCAGCATCCTTGTTGAGAAATCTTGGCTGAGGCCGTTGACAGTTGACGCCTGCGCAATATGTAGGAGGAGTCTACCACCGTTGTTAACTTCACGATCAAGTTAAAGTGGAAGTCTGCACTACAAACTTTCTGCGAAGACTGTTAAGACCCGTGCCTAGCCAACCAAGCACACCCACGCCGACTGCCTGGCAAGCGACTGCTTCCGGCTTGAGGGTTTGGGGGCTGCATTTTGGTACGATGTAGGGCTTAGGAGTCAAGGTTTAAGGCTTAAGATCTAGGGCGGTTGCTTGCGGCTTCGTGGCTGGGCTTGGGTTTTGGTAGGGTTCACGGGCCAGGGTTCTTTCAGGTTAGGGTGGGAGGTTGAGGATTCTGTGGTCGGAATGAGCGCACGGGATAACATAATTATGCTTTCCACAGGACAGTTTCATATTGACTCCAAGTAACAGGACCCTTGAACCCCAAAAACCCTAAACCCTAACACGGAGCCCATTCTTTTGAGCTTTGTATAAGCTCGCTAGGCCTCTTCGCAATGTACTTCGACCGCTTCTCTACATCGGGTTCTTCGTTTTTCGGGTCCTTATACTATTGCTGAGATGCATGGACGAACACAACTAGCCTTAACCCAGAAAGTTACTCCAGGAGTTCGGATCCCTGGGCCCTAAACCCTAAACATGTCGGGTTAAGGGTTTAAGGGTTGAGGGTTTAGGGTTGAGGGCTTAGGGTTGAGGGGTTGCGGATTTAGGGTTCACCGTTTAGGGTTTAGGGCATCGCTTTCAGAGTCACCATCTTCGGTTCTGCGTTAGGTACGGCCCCCATACAGTAAGAGTCTATGATAGGGCTACTATTAAGGTCCTACTATATCTATATTATGAATATTATCCAACTATCAAACTGGGGAGACCTGGACTCGAGACCCATTGAGCCTGACGACTGCTTGGAGGGGCAGGGGACTTAGTAAGGGTTCTTATAGGGCTCCTTAAAGGGATCTATAGGGTTCCCTAAAGGGATCTGCGTGGTTTAGGGTCTAGGGTCTCATAAACCCCCAAACCCCCTAAATCCCCCCGAACTCCCGAAAACCGTAGACGCCTTCAGGAACACATCTGGCAAACGACCCAAATCCCCAAATCCTGGGCCCCAAAACCCCCTCAGACCCCCGAACTCCTGAAAGAGGGTTTAGGGTTTAGGGTTTAGGGTTTAGGGCCCCCAAACTCCCGAAAGAGGCCTTGAAGAAAGCTAGGTCTTGAGCCCCCTTAGAGGCGAAGTTTACGGAACCCCCTCTTATAGTCTTCAGAAAACCCTACTACTCCACCCCTTAACCCTAGACCCTAAACCCAAAAACCCAAAAAAAAACCAAAACCCTAAGCCGAAAAGCCCTACTGCTCCCCCCACCCGACCTCCTGGGCTTCTTCAGCGCCCGGTGTCGTCGTTGGTTTCAGCGACTGCAGAGACGTGCTATCTATCAGTAAATGGAAGTTTCCGCAAGTCCCAAATGTGGACCTGGGCCTAGAACCCCAAAATACTAGGATTCATACATAAAGGCTCAAGGTTTCTTAATCAGGTTCCTACGTTAATGTGGACCCCTGATGGTACCACGAAGACCAAAGGGGCATCTTTTTGTGCTAATTACAAGGCTAAACCCTAAACCCTAAACCGGATGTTTGCATCGGCCTTAGCAGCGCTGTCTGGGAGTGTTTTGTTCAGACTTTTACGAAGCTTTGCCAGGTGTTCTTCAACTTTGTAAACCGAGAACGATGTAACTGTAAACGGTTTTAGGGTTGAGGGGTTTAGGGGGACCCGAAACCCCTAAACCCTAAACCTACGCCAAAAGTACAAACCATAGGTTCCCTCAGCGTCCTCTTTGAAACCCTAAAGCCAACATAACCCGCGGCTTAGAGTTCAGGGTAAAGGCTTCTCGGCTCCCTGACATTTACGGTTTTGGGTTCGGGGTCAACCCTGAGCCAAGAGCCCTGACCTCTAGACCAAAGAGAACCCTAAACCATAAACCCCACGCCCTACACCCTGAACCCTACACCCTAAACCCCAAGCCCTCAAACCCTAAACCCCAAGCCCTAAAACCCTAAACTCCAAGCCCTAAACCCAAGCCCTAAAACCTAAACCCTTATGCCTTGAAAAGGCTTAAACTCTGAACCCTAAACCCTAAACCCTGAGCTGGGTTTAGGGTTTAGGGTTTAGGGTCTAGTTTCTAGGGTTTAGGGTTTAGCTTCAGGGTTTAGGGTTTAGATGGGTTTAGGGTGAGCAAAGCTCAGGAGTTTTTAGGCTGCGGAGGCTGGCGTGCAGAGTGTGGGGCTTGCGTTCAGTTAAGGCCTTAGCGCTTGGGGATAAGGACTCAGGCTAGGGTTCAGGGGTTTAGTTTAGGGTTTAGGGTTTAGGGCTTAGTTTAGGGTTTTGGGGTTTAGGGTTGAGTTTAGGGTTTAGGGTTTAGTTCAGGGTTCACGGGTTGGGGCCTAAGTCGTAGATGGTAGTGTAGGGTTTAGGGTTGGGGGTCTGGGGCATGGCAAATTTTGAGTGGTGCCTGCAACCTATTGGCCCAAAACCCAAGGCCTGCGGGTTCAGGGTGAAGGGCGAAGCGGGCCAGGATTCAGGGTTTTGTTTCGGGCCAAAAGTGGTAAGGTCTCGGCAGTAGAGTCTCGGCTTTCAAGGATGTAGCGTTTCAAAGGATTTTGGTGACGGGCTTGGGCATGAAGATGTTGGGACAAGACTTGAGTTGAAGGCCGCACCTTGGAGCTTGCTCGAGTTTACTAGAGTTTGGAGCTTGCGGCTGACAGCTGAAGTTCAGGTTTGAGGGTCCAGGATTTGGGGTTGGGGTTGACGGCTGAGTCCTAACTGTGGATATCTCGCCTCTGCGTCAATGGCCTCCCCCTCCCTGGCCACAGCTGCATCCATGCTTGTATTCCTTCTCTCAAGCGGGCACGAATGCGATGGTGTCAGCTAAAAGGGCTTGGGCCAACATGCCGGCTGCACACTTGCGTCCTAACGCCTTCGTTGTATAATGTAGGAACCTGATTAAGCAACCTTGGGCCCTTTATTGGGGTTCCTTTACCGGGGTCTATAAGGGTTACTATAAGGGATCTGTAAGGGTACTATAGTAATGTAGGAACCTGATTAATAGACCTTGGGCCTTTAATTAGGGTTCCTTATGTGAATCCTACTTTTTTGGGGTTATAGGCTCAGGGTTTCTTGATCAGGTTCCTACATTACACAGATCAGGGACGTACGGTTGATGATATAAATCCTGCATTACCTTAAGGACCCTAAACTACGGGAGTTGTAGGCCGGTGTCTCGAAGCCTGTCATCACTTCAGCTCTCAGTAAAAGAAAGGCAGGCCTAACTGGTAGTGTACCCCAAGACCCTCTTTTATTGAAGGCCCCGAATTACCCAAAACCCCCTTCTTCTGAACTTCTGATTCTAATGATCAAGGCCCCGATATCGCCTTTTTGCCGGTGCCAGCGCGTCGGATCGCAAAGAGTCCAAGCGTCAGCTCATCCTCTGCGGGGCGCGTCGCCTCAAGGACTCCCGCAGTAGGCAGCAAGCGACTGGCGAGCTGCCTCGGACATCCAAGCACACTCGTGGTCTGGAGATCCGGGGTACGTTAGAATTGTCAACTCCGCCGCAGATGTTATAACTGTTATAATTTCTGATACCCCCGCAACAAGATGGGTGAGAATCACCCAAGGAAGCCGCCGTGGTCCCAGGCTGCACAACGTGGAGTCCTGCTCGATCACACTGCCCCCAAGGACTCCAATCCCCTTGCCCCCCGAGATGCTTCGAGGATGTGGCCTCTGCACCCACAGCACATAGAGGCTTTCGCACTTCTAACGCTTAAGGTTGAAATTATGCTGAGGGGATTAGGGAACAGGGCCGCGCCGTACGGCTTGGCCTGCATCTCAGTCTTCTCAAGCTGTACTTGAAAAGGAACAGGAGCTAGCACTCCTTGAAAGAAGGCCAGCGCAATGCTGAGCAAGTCATGGGAGCGCAGTCACCTGGCCATCATCCTGCCCAAATAAAACACGGCAGAGCTGCAACTGTGGCACGGTCACATGCTGACCCTGGAAGGAGTAGCTTGTGCGCCGCAAAACACATTCAGCCGCTCCGCACCGTCGCAGTATCTAGGGCTTAGACCTGCGGGGGAAGGCCCCGTGAAAAGCACGGAGGAGTTTGTCTCCGAGGCAGCTCTCAAAGCGAGGCTCTGCCTTTCTTCGGGGGAGTCTGCGAAAACAAAGGCGCATCGGAACCCCAGGCAGAGACGGCAGACAGCACAGAGAGCAGCTCGGGATGCGCGAGAGACAGAGTTGCACCGGGCATGGGTTTTTCATGGCCTGGAGTCTTGTCTAGGATTTAGGATTTTGTGGGTTTGGGTTTAGGGCCTTTAGGGTGTTATGGGTTGCAAGAGCCAAGTGTCTCAAGTATGCAGAAGAGAGAGGATGGTGAGGCCGGCTAACTCGCTCTGTGTAGAAACGCGGGTCTGGTGAGCTGAGTGCATCGCTGCGACTCCACCCTCAGACGTGGGTGGCTGCACGTTTCATCACCACGTTCATGGGCGTCCGCGCTTCAGCAAAAGACTCCCGCCAGGCAAAAGCCAGCACCTGCGCAGCAACGAGTCGAAACACACCTTGAGGTGGTGGCGGCATCGATGCCCCGCCCGGGGCTTCTGAGGGGACAAGACACGAAGCCTCCCTGAGCAATGATTCAAGCACCTGCGCATCGCGCGAAGCACCAGGACCGAGCGTGCAGGGAAGGGCCTCCTCTCAGCCTGTTAAAGGGTTTACGGGTTAGGGTTTACGGTTTAAAGTCCCCAGCTTGTGCCGGCGCAGCATCTGCTGAGTGCCCCTGAACCCAATTTCCGAAACTGACCCGAGTCATGCCTCGCACGGCCAGCCAAACGGAGCCAGGGCTTTGCTGAGATACCCTGCACTCTCAGTGGCTGCATCCGCTCGGCTAGAGCAGGGAATGACGGGGTTCTACTTCCTCGAAGTTAGGTTGCTATGTTCCAGGATGAACTTTGTCGCAAGTCCACTGACATGCCCGACCGATCGTTGGAGCAGTTGGGCACCTCAAAGGCTGGCTCGTGACAGGGCGCAGTCTCCTGAACTTCCAGGGCTTGGTCTGTTGCCGAAATGTTGAAAGCCCCGCAGCATAAGCGGCGCAGGGCTTGCACTTAGGGATTAAGGAAGCAGGGTTAAGGGCTCGTGTTTGAGAGATGGGGAACGGTGCATCAGGCCCGTCATGACCACTGGGACGGTTTCAGAACATGCTAGAGTCCACGCTCGCAGCGAGTGCATCTCAGTTGACTGCGATGGAGGGCATGACTGGAAGGCTTGCTGAGCTGAGGACTCTAGCTACGAATATCCTGGCAGCAATCGCAAGAAGCGAGAGAGTTGCCCTCTCAAACCGGTGCGACGGCTAACGCAACTTGCCCTCAGGACGGAATACCCCTCAAGAAATAGAATTCCTGAGTGAGTCCTCTTTTGGTGACTGCGCTTGGAGTTTATGGCTCAAGCCACGGCACTGACTGCCTGGGTGTCCCTCCTCACTTTCAACCCAAGAGCACATCTTCCGTGACATAAAACATCGGCGAAGCGTGCAGGGCCGATTGCACGGAGGTTCTCGGAGCAAGGCGGCAAAAACCTCAGCCACGGCGCGAAGCGGCGGCTTTCAGCCGACCAATCCGTCTTGTTCTGGAGTTGTCAGCGTCACTCTGCCAAGGCTTTGGAGCCCTCATCAACCAAATCCGCGAGAGGCCTTCAGGCAAAGAGGAAGTTTCTGACAAAGGCAGAAACCGCGGCTATTGCTCGTCTCTGTCCAAATGCCCGCACGTGAACGACTTCTGGCCTCCCACCCGGCTTTGGCTTTCCCTGCCTTGTGTTTGCACACTGCTACGATGGGCACCAAGTACTCTGATGCCCTGCATGGCCGAAACACCAAAGGCCAGGCTGCACAAGCTGAAGGGGACGAGAGTCCTCGTAGCCACGGAGCAGCTATAGTCTAACTACGACTATAATATACTTAGAGCTGGTGTAGTCACCGGCACCTTCCGACAAAGACAAGTCCGGTGAACGGATGATGGGAAGCCAGAATTGCCAGCAACAACCTTGACCGAAGGCGCAGCCGTCAAAGTGCTGCACATGGCCAACCCAGAGTAAGGGCCCGGGCTTCTGGAAAGCGTGGCTTCGCGAATGATGCATGGCCTACAGTGTCAAGCCAAAGAAACCAGTGCTTCGCAGAAGACGGTGCCTGACAGACCCGTCTTCAATCCGGATACAAAGGAATGCCGAACATCAGTAAGCCCACATCGGCTCTCCACGAATGCGCGGGGATGTCCGTATGGATTCCTTAGATATGTAGACCTGAGTATATCATCCGCCAGACAGTGGGCGTGCGCATCTGGTCTGCTTGAAATCATATTGGCTCCATCCGATGGCCCAGCAAGGAGCGACTGCTGGCACCCAAGCCTTGGCAGGTGCTGACCAGCCCTCGTTTGCCTGCGAGTAGGCTTTGCCAGAAGATGTCACACCGCTATGCCAAGCACTGATACATGTCCCTGTCTCTTCGAAACGAAAAAAGCAGCCAGGTTGCACAAGGTGGTCCTGCTCACTTTGCTTCTTGCAGGCTTCTGCATGCATCGGCATGTTTCTTCTGAGCCTCAATCCGCGCATGCTGCGAGTTGAGACGAAAGTTGTTGCTGGAAGGCGTCGTTAACGCTTCGGGTATGCCGTCAGCACTATGCGAACCAAAGTCTCTACAATGTCGGAAAAGTGTAGGACATCTGCTGGCAGATCGTGCCATGCCCGGCGCCAGCGATCAATCTTAGGCTTCGCTTGCTCGTCGGGCATGTCTGCCGGCACTCTGCCTCTCCATCGACGTTCTGCTTCTTTCAATGGCAGCTTTGCTCGCAGCGTAAACCACGGGGCTTCTTCGTCTCCATAGTCATTGCAAAGCAGGACCTGCGGAAGCTGCGAAGCCTGTGCCTGCTCCCAGAAATCCAAGATGAGTTCCTCATAAGCTCCCGGAGGGGGCCTGTACCCGGTCTGCTCTGTGATCGTCGTGTAATTCTCTGCACGGCTTCTCCAGTATGTGTCGGGCGAATCAAAGACAGAATCAGCATCCGCAAAATACACAAACTCAGGAGCCGGGAATCCCAGGAACTCTCTCAACGCCTCCGCATTATAGTGAACCGACTTGGGCAGTCTGTCTAAATGATACTCGACGAACTGCTTTGGGTCCACTTTTCTCCTAAGTGCTTCGTTCAGCAGGGCGGTCAGGGTAGATTTGCCTGTGCCAGGAGCCAAAGCAACCAGGGTTGCTCTCCTCGACAATGCTGCAAACCTCTTGCTCAATCTGCTGTGGCATGACCGGTAATCAGCAGCTGCTGGTCGTGGCCCTAGGCCGCTAGATCTTTCAACATGCACCACTCGAAACTCTTCATCAACCACCTCTGCGAAAGTCAAAACCGCACCTACTTGAAGCCTGCCAGAAAAACGGACCTTGCTGACAAGAGCAGAGCGCCAGTCTTGGTCGCCCACTCCGTCCAATAGCACGGCAAGGAGCGACTGCTGGCACCCAAGCCTTGGCAGGTGCTGACATGGCCTCGTTTTTCTGCAAGAAGGCTTTGCCAGAAGATGTCACACTGCTATGCCAAGCACTGATACATGTCCCTGTCTCTTCGAAACGAAAAAAGCAGCCAGGCTGCACAAGGTGGTCCTGCTCACTTTGCTTCTTGCAAGCTTCTGCATGCATCGGCATGTTTCTTCTGAGCCTCAATCCGCGCATGCTGCGAGTTGAGACGAAAGTTGTTGCTGGAAGGCGTCGTTAAAGCTTCGGGTATGCCGTCAGCACTATGCGAACCAAAGTCTCTACAATGTCGGAAAAGTGTAGGACATCTGCTGGCAGATCGTGCCATGCCCGGCGCCAGCGATCAATCTTAGGCTTCGCTTGCTCGTCGGGCATGTCTGCCGGCACTCTGCCTCTCCATCGACGTTCTGCTTCTTTCAATGGCAGCTTTGCTCGCAGCGTAAACCACGGGGCTTCTTCGTCTCCATAGTCATTGCAAAGCAGGACCTGCGGAAGCTGCGAAGCCTGTGCCTGCTCCCAGAAATCCAAGATGAGTTCCTCATAAGCTCCCGGGGGGGGCCTGTACCCGGTCTGCTCTGTGATCCTCGTGTAATTCTCTGCACGGCTTCTCCAGAATGGGTCGGGCGAATCAAAGACAGAATCAGCATCCGCAAAATACACAAACTCAGGAGCCGGGAATCCTAGGAACTCTCTCAACGCCTCCGCATTATAGTGAACCGACTTGGGCAGTCTGTCTAAATGATACTCGACGAACTGCTTTGGGTCCACTTTTCTCCTAAGTGCTTCGTTCAGCAGGGCGGTCAGGGTAGATTTGCCTGTGCCAGGAGCCAAAGCAACCAGGGTTGCTCTCCTCGACAATGCTGCAAACCTCTTGCTCAATCTGCTGTGGCATGACCGGTAATCAGCAGCTGCTGGTCGTGGCCCTAGGCCGCTAGATCTTTCAACATGCACCACTCGAAACTCTTCATCAACCACCTCTGCGAGAGTCAAAACCGCACCTACTTGAAACCTGCCAGCAAAACGGACCTTGCTGACAAGAGCAGAGCGCCAGTCTTGGTCGCCCACTCCGTCCAATAGCACGGCAAGGAGCGACTGCTGGCACCCAAGCCTTGGCAGGTGCTGACCAGCCCTCGTTTGCCTGCAAGAAGGCTTTGCCAGAAGATGTCACACTGCTATGCCAAGCACTGACACATGTCCCTGTCTCTTCGAAACGAAAAAAGCAGCCAGGCTGCACAAGGTGGTCCTGCTCACTTTGCTTCTTGCAGGCTCCTGCACGCATCGGCATGTTTCTTCTGAGCCTCAATCCGCGCATGCTGCGAGTTGAGACGAAAGTTGTTGCTGGAAGGCGTCGTTAAAGCTTCGGGTATGCCGTCAGCACTATGCGAACCAAAGTCTCTACAATGTCGGAAAAGTGTAGGACATCTGCTGGCAGATCGTGCCATGCCCGGCGCCAGCGATCAATCTTAGGCTTCGCTTGCTCGTCGGGCATGTCTGCCGGCACTCTGCCTCTCCATCGACGTTCTGCTTCTTTCAATGGCAGCTTTGCTCGCAGCGTAAACCACGGGGCTTCTTCGTCTCCATAGTCATTGCAAAGCAGGACCTGCGGAAGCTGCGAAGCCTGTGCCTGCTCCCAGAAATCCAAGATGAGTTCCTCATAAGCTCCCGGGGGGGGCCTGTACCCGGTCTGCTCTGTGATCCTCGTGTAATTCTCTGCACGGCTTCTCCAGTATGTGTCGGGCGAATCAAAGACAGAATCAGCATCCGCAAAATACACAAACTCAGGAGCCGGGAATCCTAGGAACTCTCTCAACGCCTCCGCATTATAGTGAACCGACTTGGGCAGTCTGTCTAAATGATACTCGACGAACTGCTTTGGGTCCACTTTTCTCCTAAGTGCTTCGTTCAGCAGGGCGGTCAGGGTAGATTTGCCTGTGCCAGGAGCCAAAGCAACCAGGGTTGCTCTCCTCGACAATGCTGCAAACCTCTTGCTCAATCTGCTGTGCTGTGCCTGTGGGTCGCCGACCGAAGCTTCTGTCTCAGCCGTTGACCGTTTCAACATAATCCGCTTGACTGCTGTCGAATTCTCAACTTCATACTGAGTCAGACTGAAGGAAGCGCTTCCAGGGAACGATCTCATGCGTCTCCTTTCAGAGGCATGTTGCGTAAAGACCGCGCAAACCTTGGGCTTCTTCAGCGGAGGCCCTTAGGGTTGAGGGTTTAGAGACAAGGGATCCGAAAGCTCACCTGCAAAAGCTGCGAATGGGGCCAACATGCCTCCCAACCAGCTCAGAACTACTCTTCGTCTGCCTCTCTGCTTTGGGCAGGCGAGGCGACCTTTTTGCCCTTATAGTGACCCGTATAGCGCCCACTTACACAAGCCGAAAGGCCTAAAGTCCCAGCACAGAAGCAGCCGGTGGAGGAACGCCAGCATTGCCCACGGCCACCTCCATCCATTCCGCAGCCATCAAAGCAGAGATGGCAGACTAAGAGGCTTCAGGGCTCTTCGGGTTTAGGGGGAACTCCAGAAAGTTGGAATATGGTTTCAGGGTAGGATACCGTATAATTTACCATAAAGGGCTTAGGATAATCATATTCCAACTTTCTGGCTTTTGCTTTAGGGACCTCCACCAGAGCCTTGACCTTCGAAGCAAGGAGTGCTTGGAATAAAACCGTGTCTGACAAACCGGCCTTCAATCCACGGACCCGACACGCTGCACATCTGGCTGAGTCAACCCACACGGAGTCTGCAGCACTGGGAATCGCGCCTTATTGAGACTCGGCTGCCCAGACCCTGAACCTTAATCGGGCTGGGTGTTCTTCGCAGGCGCATGAGTGCCTTGCACTGCGAGCTACTTGGCTGCCACTGAGTGGTCATGCTGGAAACGAACGAGCCCTAAGGCTCAAAGCTCTTTTGCCTGAGGGCTTAGGCTTCAGCGCCTTAGCGTTGCATGGAGAGCCACTCTGGAACGAGACCGTGGGATCGAATCCACTCTTCGGACCATCTCTAGGCAGGTCTTGGGTTCAGGGCCTCATGGACTTAGGATGTAGCCAGGGCCAGGGCTTTGACGGGCTTTGGCACTTCTTGGTCCTAAGCCTCTAACTTCCAGCACGTCCGGGCTTCATTATGGACCGACGTCTGCAGCAAAAGGCTTTAGCAAGCGCAGGAGGCACTCTGACCTGCCTGCACTGGGGCTTCAGAAAACTAGAGCACGCTTTGTTTCATGAGTCCTTACCACGAGGTTTCACGATTATTCGAGGTCCCGTGGGTTCTGAAACTACTCTGTGCTCCAAGACGAATGGGACAGAGGCCATGAAGCTGCGGTTTAGGCTGCCTGGGGCCGAAGGACTCTCCCTCGTCTCAGGCGCGATTGAGGGTTGACCGGTTGGCCCGAAGCCCGAAACCCCTGAACCCTAAACCCAAAGCCCACTACACTCTAAACCCCTCAACCCGAAACCCGTACGGGGCTTAGGTTCGATAGCCCCCCTCGGAGGCTCAGGGAAGGCCAGCAGGCATCCTGGCACCCGTAGATGAGAGCCTCCAGAAAGCCGCGGAGATGACAGGATTTCGGATTGAGGCATTTAGGGCTTTAGGGTCATGTAAGGGCAAGGGTCCTTCTAGATTCCGAGCACCAGCTCCACCCTAGCTTGAGCTACCGAAGTATAACTTCGATGTTGAGGGGCATAAAAAGAACCTGCAGAACGGTAGGTTTTGGTAGTTGAGGGTATCCTGAAGCCTAAACCCTAAATCCTTTTTGCCGACGCCCGTCGAAGTCCATTGAGCGATGCAAGTGCGACACGCACGCTGCGCCGCACGCGAGCGGGCTGCTCTGCCTTGCAGGACCACAAGTCAACGGTTTAGGGGTTTAGCGGTTTAGGGGTGTCGACCTCTGCCTGCACCACAAAGCCCATGGCGACTCCGGTTGAAAAGCGGGCACTCGCAGTTTCACGGGTCCACCGACATGCTTGCCTTGCATAGGCAAGATACCACGGCCACCTATTCGCGGAGTCATGCCATCGCGGCAGTGTAGCAAGGTAGACGCAAGAAGCATGCAAAAACAGTGCAGATTGCCGGTGATATGCGGGAACCCGATGAGATGTCTGATCTGGTGAGGAAAAACTACTACACTGACCCTAGACGGCCGTCGTCTCAGTTGCTGATTGCCCAAGGGGATGCTTCACGGAATGCAGAAAACCATCATCCGGAAGCGTGCGACGAGTTTCGAGTTTGGAGCTTAAGGTTTTAGGGTTTAGGGCTTCAGGGCTTTAGGGCTTTAAGGTTTAGGGTTTTAGGGTTTTGGGCTTTAGGGCTTTAGGGTTTTAAGGTTTAGGGTTTTAGGGTTGCTGCAGCAACCTTGACTATGGACGACCCCGAGCCTGGGTGGCAGATGCAGGGTTGGCAGCTGCATGGCACTCGGAGGTGCCCGCAGCACCTGAGATCTGCGTGTGACAGGCTCGGGTGGAACCAGGTTGAAGCTTCCCCATAGCAGCATGAAAGCGTAACTGCTGCTACATCGGCAGTGCATGAGGTGCAGCCCTGGTAGCACTGAAGAAATGGCAGATAGCTCGACCAAGCTTTTGTCGGCTCTTTTCCTAGCGATGTTATCAGCTCCATGCACCCCTGTCAGGCAGAGGCAAAAGGCGCAGCACAGTCAGCGCTTGCTGGTGCATTTTTTCCTGAAACTGGCTGTTGGCTGCCAGCAAGACCCGGCTCTTGGAACCGTACTGTAGGGGCCTAATGTAGGGGCCTAAACAACTACCAAGACCAGGGTTCCTTATGATAAGTAAAGTATGATGGGCCCCCTATACTAAGATTAAGCCTGCTGAAGTCTACCGGCTGGCTTAGGCCTGCTCTGGGGCAGAATCCTGCAGGAGGCACTGCATGGAGCCGATCATACTAGCAAGGACCAAATGCGGCGATGGCGCGTCAACAAGTCCAGTCCTTAAGGCCCCGCAGAGGCAACTGCGACATGGTTTAGGATTTAGCCCTATCCCTCCAGACTTCATACTTAGGGCCCTAGACCCCTTGAGGACCCCATAATGAGGTCCCTGGAGGCATAGGGTAGGGTTTAGGGAGCAAGCTTCGCAGCGCAGTCCCGGCAAGCTCGGCCAGCTGAAAAACGAGCGCTCGAAGTGTTGTCGGCGCTGAAACGGTGCGGTCCGCCGATAAGGGACCAGTGCGACCAAATCGCGGAGTCATGCAATAAGGAAGGATGCAAAAACAATAGCAAAATGGTGGCATGCCTAATCTGATTGGGGGGATACTACACTGACCTTAGACGGCCGACTTCTGTTGCTGATTCCCGTCGGTGCTTCACACATAACGCTCAAAGAATGGCAGCTGACTCGGCTCCTGCCTTTTCTTACGCCGCGTTCAGCTCGATGCCCCTAGCAGGCAAGTTGAAAAGCCATAGCTCAGTCAGCAAGGTTTGCTCATGCATAGCTGGTGGCTTCCACTCCACACACGCAATATCGCCCTGGGTAGAAGCTGATCTGGCTAAGACAGATACTACACTGATCTTAGACGGCCGACTTCTGCTAATTGCTGGTCGCTGCTTCACGCAAGGCACAATGCTCAAGAAATGGCAGCTGACTCAGCTCCTGCCTTTTCTTACATCGTGTTCAGCTCGATGCCCCTAGCAGGCAAGTTGAAAAGCCAGAACTCAGTCAGCAAGGTTTGCTCATGCATGGCTGATGGCTTCAACTCCATGCACCCAACATCGCCATGGATACAACCTGCCTGCACGGCAACACACGGACGACGTCACAGTGGATGTGCCGTAGTCTACCGGTTGACTTCGCCCTCGGGCAGCAGCTTGATAGTGCCAGCGCAGTCTCCGTAGTGCAAATTTTGCAGGATTGGAAGCCCTCTAACAGTATGACGTTGCCAAGAAGTGGACTCGTGCTACGCCGTGGCAGAAGACACGTGATGCAAGCAAGCACCAAAACGTGCGGCAAGAAGGGACCGCAAAGAACGAACCTCTTCGAGAGCGTGCAGCTGGCAGCTGCACGGGCACACCCGAGCAAGGCAGCAGTGTGATCAGGGGATTTTTGAGGTCTGACAAGTGCAGCGGCATCGGGCTGAGGAGCAAAGCATTGGGCTCCGAACACGAGAGCCTCTGCGGCTGAACATCAGGCGAAGGAGCTTCCCTCAGAGCACAAAGCCTGAACTGCAACGAGGGGGACTGCCAGAGCGGGACGAGGAGGCTGTGCACCTCCACTACGCAGGAGGAGACTTGTGGCCGGTTTCAAGATCGAAATATCTTGCAATCATGGCGATGCGGATAACTGTTTAAGTGTGATCATTGAGACACGACGAAGACATGTTGCCTTCGGTTGGGCTCCTCAGGCTCATGTCAGGCAAACAGAACATAGGCAAACCAGAAGCTTGTGCCCATTATGGGTAGTATGGCCTAGGAAAAGAGATACTCATCCAGCATACGAACAGCCCACAACATGGCTTGAGAGCAGCACCAACATAGCTGTTACCTGGCGGCTGCACCGCAACACTTGAAGGTGCCGGCAGCAGCTGAGATCTGCGCGTGACCACAGGTCAGCTCAGGCTAAAGCTTCCCTTCAACTGTTGCTACATCGGCAGTTAATGAGGTACACCCCAGGGAGCACTCAAGGAATGGCAGATAGCTCGAGGCAGCTCTTGTCGGCGCTAGCGCCGTTGAAACCGTTGGCGATGTTTTGAGCTCGATGCCCCTCGTACGCAAGTTGAAAAGCCAAAAGTCAGCGACGGGGTTTAGGGTTTGGGGTTTGGGGGGTCGAACCTGCCTGCACGGCAACACACGGACGACGTCACAGTGGATGTGCCGTAGTCTACCGGTTGACTTCGCCCTCGGGCAGCAGCTTGATAGTGCCAGTGCAGTCTCCGTAGTGCACATTTTGCAGGATTGGAAGCCCTCTAACAGTATGACGTTGCCAAGAAGTGGACTCGTGCTACGCCGTGGCAGATGACACGTGATGCAAGCAAGCACCAAAACGTGCGGCAAGAAGGGACCGCAAAGAACGTCTTCGAGAGCGTGCAGCTGGCAGCTGCACGGGCACACCCGAGCAAGGCACCAGTCTGATCAGGGGATTTTTGAGGTCTGACAAGTGCAGCGGCATCGGGCTGAGGAGCAAAGCATTGGGCTC